GCCCACGCCCCTCTCTGTCCCCTGAGTGCCTCCTGAGCTCAGGTGACCTTTGACAATTTGCTCAGACCAACCAGAGATGTGCCCCGACTCTAGCTTAGGGCGGCCCCTCGCCCGAGGCTGCACTGCCTCCTCTTTGCCCCACGGACAGGCATGGCCTCCAGCCACCTCCCTCCTGTCCTGCTCTGGACGTGACACGCGCAGGGGCAACATCGGGGCAGGACCGCTGTGGACATGGGGCAGCTGTCGGAGGTCAGAGGTCGACAGTGGCCCCTGCGGCGGCCCGCAGTCCCACCGCGCGGACGGCCCCGGCAGGGGCTCCCGGTCCTGAGCCCCGCCACCCGTCTCCCCAGCCCCCACCCGGTCCTGCCTCTGAGCCCGTCCCGCAGCCCCACCCGGACTCACAGCTCCCGGCTTACCTGAGGATCCGGGCCGCACGCGCCGAGGCTGCCCACGGGGGACAAGGACACGTAGCTTTAGCCGCCCCGGGCGGGGCCGCAGACGCCTGTAAATGGACCCGCTGGGCGGGGCCGGGGCGGGGCCGGGGTCGGGGTGTCGGGGGCGGGCCCGCGGGCGGTGGCACCTGCTGGCGGGCGGGCGGCCCAGCCAAGCGCGGCACTTTCGGGACCCGGTGACTCGGTGGCCGCGCAGCCGGGTCCCGCCCCTCCCGCTCCGCCCCGTAGCCTCGCCCCCCTCGCCTTCCCCGCCCCGCCTCACCGTCCCCCCACAGCCTCCTCCAACCTGCAGCCCCTGCCCCGCCCTCCACGCCCTCCCCTCCCTCCACAGCCTTCCCCGCCCCCACATCCCCCCGGCAGCCGGCTGGGGTCGGCTGGAACCCAGGGCGCCCGGTGCGTGGCATGGCGGAGCCCGGGCCCATTTCGCGGATGAGGAGGCTGAGCCCTCCCTGGGAGCCCGCCCTGGCGGAGGGGAAACCCCACGACTGCACGTGGCCGTCGCACCTGGCCTTAGGGTTAAGGTCAGAACACCAAGCCAGTCACAGGAGAAAAGCCATCCTGCAATACTGGGATCTTAAATGAGCAGCGGCCACAGCCTTGCAGAGCAACAGCCCAGACTGCTTAGGGACTGGGGACGCGGACTCCGAGGCTGCGGGTGCTTTGGGCAGATCTCCGCTGGAGGCAGACAGCTTGGGCTCCAAACCAGCTCAGCTGCCCGCCGCTTTACTGGACCCCCGTGCCTCGGTCTCCACGCCTGTTACAAGTTAAAAGGGGCTAAAAGCAGCACTTTGCTAAGGAGTCACTCGGGACTGTAGCAATGTGGTGACAGGGAGTCTTTGGGCCAGTCTTGGTGCGGCTGGCAGGCCTGGACACACTCCCAACCAGCAGGACCAGCTGGAAGCCGGGTCTCTGCTCTATCTCAGGCATCTCTGAATGGGGACTCAGAGGTCTCCATCCACTCCCTGAGGGTCACACCGGTCTTGGAACTGCCCCCTTAGCCGTGGTTTTGGTAGGAGGCTGTTCCCACACTCTTGGCAGCTGGGTCCTGGAGGGAGGGACCAGGAGCGAGGGCAGGGCCACCCAGGCTTTGAGAGGCTGGTTTGGAGCTGAGATTAGGGAGGTAGCCTCTGGCCTAGAGCTCGCTGGGTCTGGGCCAAACGCAGACCACATAAATGAAAATGCTTCTGAAATTGTTCATTGAGTGCAAAGGCTTCGGATTACAGATTTGTTTCAAGGTAGCACCAACACCACATAAAAGTTTATAGTTTTCCAGGGATTATGCAAATCTTCGTGTTGGCAGGAGCGTGGGGAATTTAGGTCCGTCATGGAAAAGGGCACACAATCTCCAGAGGACCCAGGGCCACAGGCACATGCATGGCCGTGCCAGACACCCCACTCTTGCAAGGTCGGAAAAACATGGAATAAACGCAGCAACAGAGTTTATAAATATATAACTATATTTATTTTGAATATTAAATAGTTTTTAAATTACAAGCAATTTATTGAATCACACTATGCATCAATATACAGTAAAAATCTTACAATTTAAAAATGTACACAATTTAAACTGAAAGTTCATTAACTGTTATATTGCCGTGAACCTCTCTTGACTGTGTTAAAGTACAACGGGAGACCCGGTAGGTGTGACGGCCCCATCAGTCCTCCTCTGCAGCTGGAAGCGAACAATGGACACTTACACCAGGTCCCATCAGCAAGGTCCAAATCCACCCTCGTGAACCTGAACACTCAAACAGCACAAGTTTGAGCCACTCGAATTGATCTCAACAGGTTGTCGGTAATTCAATACTGTCAACACATCTTTAAGAATTTATTTATATACTAAAGAGAATTTTCTCTGTTAATAGCCAAGGCTTGAGCCAACCCCATTACTACTTAGGAATATTGTTTTTGAGACTTAAATCCGAAAAATTTGTGTACACCCATTCTTACTTTAAGGCTACTTCTCATAAGGCTAATGTTTTGAAGCCCCCATAACTGAAGCCCAACCTTTTGGAGTATAACACGTGGTTCCCTTCTAAATTTTCAGATACGGGCTAGGAGCTGCCTCCCTTCCCCCGGGGCCCTCAGGACAGACATGCAATAGGTCATTACCGCTACAAATACCCTATGGGAAATATGAATTAAAGGAAGAGGTTTTGGAAGGCATTTTATGGCAGCAAGACATACAAAGACTTTTCTGAGATAAACCCATTTCTATAGAAACAATCGAGCCTGTACATTTAAAAATAGAATGAATGCTGTGTTTTCAATTCAGTTTAGTTGAGGCTCTTTCACCCTTAAGATGAACAGTTTGTTACCCAGACACAGTCCAAGTCTCAGAGGGATCTGGGGGACGCTTTTTCTACACTGCCCTTTCTGGCTTATGACAGGGTCATTGAATTACACAAAATAGCATCTGCTAGGAAGGAAATGAAAGATTATTTTTATTATAGTACTTAAAATATACAAACTCCACCAAAGTAAGACCAATTAAAATCTGATAGATTCTGGACTGCACTCAAAGGAGGCCAGGAGATATCACTGTGAACCAGGTATTCTAACCTTGCCCCACGTCATCTAGAGCTGCGGTTCCCAACCTCCGCATGGGGACCAGGCTGCAGAGCTCCACTGCCCACCCCAACTCCCCACAACCCCGGTCCGAGGAAAAATTGTCCTCCGTGCAACTTAGGAATGGGGTGGGAGGCCACAGAGCAGGAGGTGAGCGGCTCACGAGCTTCATCTGCATGTACAGCCACACCCCCATCACCGCCTGAGCGCTGCCTCCCACCGCCCCCCACTCCAGTCTGTGGAAAAACTGTCTTCCATGAAACCAGTCCCTGGTGCCAAAAAGGCTGGGGACTGCTGATCTAGAGAATGCCACCCGTTTATTTCATTGCACAACTGATTAGAACAAGTACATTTTGAAAACCCACTACTGTTAACCAACTTATTTGTTAAAAAAAAAAAAATCAAAACTGAATCGAACAAAGTACATGCTGACATTTTAAAAATGGGCTGAAAATTTCAATCTACTTAAATTTCCTGTGTATTGCTTGAGATTTCAAAAAAACATGTTTACTCACATATTTATTATAAATATAAATCTTCCCTTCCATGCAACACCACTACTCTACCCACCCCCCAGACTCAATGTATAAAATGTTTTGGCAATTGTGAGAGTGATATAGACTTAAAATAAAATTGGGAATTATGTTGTTAAAATCTCCTTAATCATAGTGAAAAATGTACAATCCCAAAATATCAATAAATTTATCCTAGGCTGACTGTGTATGAAGACTATATATCCTATGGATCTTCTTGATTTTTACTCATTAAATCTGAACTCCGTAAGTCTATAATTTGGAAAAATGAGTACAGTCACCTCTCATTTCTCTGTCAACCAAGAGTGGCAGTTAGATGTAAAAATTCAGAAAACTCAGGAAGTCTCCATAGCAAGAAACTGTGAGTTATGACAATTTTGGCAAAATCATCTTCTAATGCCCTGTTAATTTTTTAAAAAAACATACGCACGTCACAAGAACCAGTGCTGTCTGCACAGCCCAGGAGAGCACACTGTGTTCACACCAGGCTGGGGGTCAGGGGACTCTCTTCATTCTACATTTTCTTGCTTTGGAAAATTATTGCTTAGTATAAAAAACTAGTGGAGCGAACCAGAACTGGTACTAAAGGTTGTAATTTGCTATATAAACTCTGGCCATGTCCACATCTGCATTTTGCACTAGAACCCGAGTTCCTCCGATTTACACTGGGCAGCCCCCGCCTGGGCCTGGAGAGCCGGCCCGGGGTTACACCAGGTCTGGAAAGCACATCAGCACCGGAAAATATCTGGGGTGAAGGGCCAGTGTGAGGGGGCCACGGGCCTGTGGACCCAGCTGGTACCAATGGTGACTCCCTCAGCACAGTATGCTGCACCGGCCACCGGAGGCTTCCTCATGTCAGGGCAGAGCTCACCGAGGGCTGGATGATGTCGGCCTTGCGCTGTGAACACCGGTTCCTGCCAACACCATGAAGCTGCACTGGAAACATCGGTCCCTTTCAAAGCAAGAGAACTTGGTGCCTAATGCAGAAGGGAAGGGTCCGTCCAGATAAGCCCTGGGGCCACACAGGGCCACTCAAGGTCCCAACCAGTTGGACGTGTCAGCTGCTGAGGCGCTGCCCTTGCCCCCACAGGTGCAGGCTGTAGTGTATCTCCGAGGCTACAAAGAGACTGGCCACACCTGGACGTGACTTGGAGTGGCTCCAAGGGGAAAATTCAGCTGTGGAGATTTTTTTAAAAAGCTCAAATCAACAACACCTGAAGTGTACAAACAATTAAACCATCCTCAACAACCAGAGCCCTCTGTGGAGATGCATCTTCCTCCGAGTCCTGGCTTCTGGAAGGACAGACTCACGAGAACACTGAAGCTACACAGCAGTCAGCCTCCTAGACACAGGCAGGAGGGCGAGGGCCAGGGCACCGAGTTCTGGGGTACACCGCCAGTCCATTTTTACCAAAAGGGTTTTTAAAAGTTGGGAGCTGGGGTGGGAGAATTGCACGGAGAGGCTGCAAGACCCTTCAGCTCCTCAGAGAGAAGCCTCATTTGCTGCAGAGAAACCACCTTGTAGACAAGAGACAAAAATGTGTTTGCTTCCATCAACACAACAGAGTGGTATTTCTGGACTCATTGAAAATATTTCCTATAAGAACATAAAACACTAACATTCAGAATCATTATCATTCATGAAAGAGTACCATATGTACAACTCCAACAATTCCAAGGACAGCATAACACTCAAAATATTTAAGCTTTACAGGTACCATGCAGAGCAAACTATAGAACAGAAAAAAAATCAAACTAGTGGGTAGCACCAGCTTGACCTGCCTTATTTTCCTTGAATAATTTAAGATTCTGTACAACATTGGAGACTCTTAACATTTATCCACAGTGCAATTACAGAAAGCAATTAGTGATTTCTTTAAAAGTAATAAATATGGCTCACTCGTGACCATTTCCCCAGTGCGTCCTCTGCCGCGCCCGTGCGGGGACCGGGTGTACAGGTGTAGACGCAGAGAACACCCACCTGGAGCACAGACACACCGGTGCCGCGCACGGAGGTGGTGTGGGCGCTTCCCCAGAACGACCACCATGTGAGCACTTCAAGTGTGAGAGCAGCCGCGGGTGCGCGGAGCTGAGGGACACCAGCTGCTGGGACACGGCCACGGCCACGCTCCCCACTGGGGCTCCCCCAGGGCCCCGCCTCGGACGCAGCGCAGGGCGTTTGCCTTCTCCTGGTGCGCTCTCCCGCTCTCCCAATCTCGCCGCAGCAAATGTGGAGGGGACGGCACTGCTTGGGCCGAGGACACGGGACTGCAGCTCTGGAGAGCAGCCTCCGACCTGAGAGCGCGTCGGCAGCCGCCTAGTCTTTTTCTCCGTCTTCACTGCTTCCTGTTCAGGGGAGAGGAAGCAACACGACAAAGCTGGGTTTTTAAAAACGATCATCACAGACTAAGAGTTTGCACGGTCTCAGAGGTGCACTGCAGGAAGTGGAACTGAAGCTAGTGCTTGGGTCCCAGCACCTGCCCGGGCTGCCCTGGCTCCCCTTCTAGCGGCTGCACCTGCCCGACTCTCCCGCGGACACATCTGCTTGGCTCCCATGGCAGCTGGATGCCAACACTCAGCACAGGGCAAACCTGCCCTGATCCACACGTCTGCCCTCAGACAGAGCGTGAGGGAACCAGTATTATCTAATCAGCACACGCGAAACACAGTGCAAACACAAATAAAAGCTCTTTATATTTCATATTTATTATTTGATCTGTAAACTTCAAATTAAAAAATGTACCTATTAACATTTATCTTTCAATCTAGTTATGGGGAAGCGAGGGTCCGTATGTAGAGACAGCACCACTTCAAATGGGCCCCGCCCAGTCACTCCCCTCGGCCCTCTGCTATCGCGCAAAGACCAACACTTAATGGCAAAATCAACATTCCCAGGGGCAGAGCCAGACGCACTTGGGCTCAATTCCAAACTCATAGGTCACGTGCTCACAGGAGCATGTGCCTCGAAGAGCAGCTTCCCTCTGGGAAGGAGGTGGGGAGGTTGGGGAAGGAAGATTAGCAGCAAAAGGGAGAACAGGGGGACACAGGGAAGAGGGAGACTTCCAACCTGGGGACATCCTAGTGACCCAGAGCTGTGGTGCCACCCGCTTGCTCCTGCCTGCAGGGCTAAGCAGTAACGAGCCTGGAGAGTGACCGAGGGCAGGGCGGGGGACGTGGCCCCCGGAGCATATTGTCAGGATTGTGGCTGTTTGACACAAACTAACCTGTTATCTACTCAAGTAAACACCATGGACACATCAGCTCCAGGAGTTCAGGGCATGTCCCCCCCACCCAACCCCCCAGGCCAGCACATACGCGCCTCTCACCTCCTTGCTCAATGTCCGAGTCAGTCAGGTGCGTGAGAGAGAAGCTGGCGATGTTGGCGGGGGAGATGGAGAACCTGGAGTAGGGCGCCACGTGGGGCCAGCTCTGCTCTGCGCCCCGGGCTGGCGGTGGCGGCGAGAAGTATTTTGACGTTTGCAGAGAAGGCTTGGAGCAGAGAAGGTTACTTGTTGTCTTTGACATAAAAGGGTCTGGGGAGAAGTCATCGTCCCATTCAAAGCCTCCACCTAGAAATAAAAAAAGAGAAAACCCTCCCTTTATCACTGCGCGATAAAGAAGAGAGGGAGCGCGAAGGCACAGGTGTGTTCAGCTGACAGATGGCAGAGCTGCTCTCAGTGTCGGGAAGGCATCATTTAAAGCAACAGGCGACATTATCCTCAAAAACTGTTTACATTATTCAAAGCTCCATTTTTCAGTTTATTTTAAAACTAATTAGTGAAGTGAAATACCTTCTTCATCCGTGGAGCTTTCGGAATTTATGCACCTGCTCAGGTAGGGTGGGCCTGAGGACGGTGCTGGGCTGCTCAGCTCAGGGCCACGCGCCTCTCCTCCGCAGGGCCCCAGCTCTTTGGTTGGGGTCTCCTGAAAAGCCAAACAGACACTATCAGCAAAGGCCTGCTCAAGGGAACCGGCCAGTGTAACCGCACCCGAGGCCGGCAGGTGCGTCTGACTGCTACCTGTGAAGTGTGCATCTTAGGACAAGGCTGGCTCCGGGCCTGGGTGGGGTAGAACAGACACGGAGCCCTGTCTCCCCCTCTGCCTGCAGCTCTGACACCTGGGCATGCAGGAAGCTGCTCTCTCAGGCCTCGGAGAAGTAAACAGCAGCAGGCAGACCGGAGAAGAATGCCGGAATTCAAAGCACCACCAAACCAGCACTGAGTTTGCCACTTTTCCCTCACACATCCACGGGCCTGGACTCAACCAAGCCCCAAATTCAAAGAGGGCGCTGGTTGTGGACAGGGAGCTCCAGGAGAAGCCTCTGGTTCTGGTTCTAGGAGCAGAGAGGGGGCCTTCTGACGCTCAGGAAGAGGATGAACCTCCAGGTTATTTTGTTTTCCTCTCTCAGGTCTCTCCCAGCCCCAAGCAATCCCAGGCGACAGGTGCCTGCAATCCTGAGGGAGCAAAGCCCCCTCTCCCCAAGAGGACTATGATCTCAAGAGTGAGGGGCACCCCTGCTGCTTTCTTTGCCCTCCACAGCCAACCGTCCCACCGCTTGGCTGCAGAACACCAAAAAGGGAAGGCCCAAAGAATCGGAAGTACCAGGGACCTTGCAGAGAGGGAGGAGCTGGTGAGGAACTCCCGGGGCTTACCCCTGAGCCAGGCATGGTAGATTTGACCCCAAAAACACACCAGTGCCTTGAAAAGTGAACTACAAGGGAGACCACCACCAAGCTCCAGCCTGGCCAGTGGAGGGGACACATGTGCGTGGGTTTGAATTAGCACAACGAAGGCTGTCAAAGGGGAACTGACACTGAAACCACAACCCACAGAAGGCTGGTTGGACCTTGTGGCCTGAACCCACCTGGTCAAGCCTGCTAAGACAAAAATAACATCTCTGTAGAATTTAAACAAGACAGAATCACGTAACATGAAGTGAGGCTATGAAATCTAAAATTACTTAGCATACAAAGAACCAGGAAACCTTAATTCACAGGGGAAAAGACAATCCACAGATGCCAATGTCAAAGAGCCACAGATGATGGAATTACCTGAAAAAGACTATTATAAAAATGCTCTTACAAGTAAAGGCACTCTTAAAATTAACGGAAATATACAAAGTCTTAGCAAAAGAATAGAGGGTGAAAAGAATGACAAAATGCAAATTTCACAGTAGAAAAATACAATAACTAAAATTCAGAAACTCACTAGATGGGCTCAATAGAAGAATGGAGAAGACAGAGGAATTAGTAAATTTGAATATAGAGCAACAGAAATTATCCAATCTAAACAACAGCAAGAAAAAAAATTGGAGAAGAAAGAAACAGAGCCTTGGGCCCTGTGGGACAACACCAAAAGGTCTAACACTGGAGTCCCAGGAGGCACGAGACAGAATGTGGTGCAGAACAAGCACTGGAAGAAATAATGGCTGAAAACTTCTCAAATTTGCTGAAAGATGTAAAACCGCAGATTCAAGAAGCTCAGCAAACTGGAAATGGGATAAACACAAAGAAATCCATGCCCAGATGCATCATACTCAAACTGCTCAAAGCTAAGGACAAAGAAAAAAATCTGGCAAGCAGCCAGAGATAAAACACATATTACAAACTGAACATCCCAAATCTGAAAATCCCAAACCGAAAATGCTCCAGAATCTGAAACCTTTTGAGTGCCGACATGATGCTTAAAGGAAATGCTCATTGGAGCATTTGGGACACTGAATTTTCAGATTTGGGATACTCAGCGGGTAAGTATAATGCAAATATTCCAAAATCTGAAAAAATCCAAAATCCAAAACACTTTTGGTCCCAAGAATTTCAAATAAGGAATAATCAACCTGTACTTCTAGGGGAATAATGATTTGAGTGCAAATTTCTCATGAGAAACCATGAACCCCAGAAGGAGCGATACATTTTTACAATGCTGAAAGAACTGTCAGCTCAGAATTCTATATTCAGAGAATGTATCCTTCAGGAATAAGTGTGAAATAAAGACAGTATCAGGTGAAAAAAAAACCTAAGAATTTGTTTTTTTAAAAAAAAAAAAGAACAAAAGAAAAGAAGCCAGGTGCAGTGGCACACACCTATAATCCCAGCTACCAGCTACTCAGGAGGCTGTGTCAGGAGATTTGCTCGAGCCCAGGAGTTCAAGCCTGGGCAACATAGTGAGCCCCATGCCCCCCCACACCCAGAAAAAAGAACACAAAGAAAAGCTAAACAGACTTATTCAGTTAGAAGGGAAATGATACTAGAAAAAAATCTGCAACATCAATAATGAACAAAGAACAACAGAAGTACAGTCAGCTCTCCATATTTAAGAGTTCCACATTTGCAGATTCAACCAACAGTGACTGAAAATATTTGGAAAAAATAAATACAAAATAATATAATAATTTAAAAATAGAGAAAATACAGTATAACAACTTTATATAGCATTTACATTGTATTGGTATTATAAGTAATCTCGAGATGATTTAAAGTATACAGGAGGATGTGGATAGGTTACATACAGACACTATTCCATTTTACATAAGGGATTTGGGCGTCCTCAAATTTTGGTATCTGAGGAAGGTTCTGGAACCAATTCCCTTTGGATACTGAGGAATGACGATAGAAACTATCTGGGTAAACAGTCATCCCTTGATATATTTGGGGGATTAATTCCAAGACTGCCCATGTATAATCAGATCTGCACACACTCGAGTCAAAGTCAGCCCTGCAAAACCTGAGTATATAAAAAGTCCGCCCTCCACATACATACACAGGTTTCCTAACTTATGAATACTGTATTTTCGATATGCATTTGGCTTAAAAAAAAAAAAAAAAAAAGCTGCTGTGTATAAGTGGACCCATGCAGTTCAAATTCATGTTGTTCAAGGGTCAATCATATAATACTATTTGTTTCCTCTTGAGTGTCTTAAAATATGTTTGATGTTTGAGCCCGCTATGGTGGCAAGTGCTAGCTATACTCAGGAGGCTGAGGTAGGCGGGTCAGTTGAGGCCAGGAGTTCAAGGATGCAGGGAGCTATGACTGAGTCACTGCACTCCAGCCTGGGCAACAGAGCAAGACCCTGTCTCTAAAAAAAAAATGTTTGATGATTAAAGTAAAACATATTACACTGTCTGATGAGTTATCAGTGCATGTGTATGTAATAAACAAGACAGTGTCAAGATAGGGAGGGAGGGTCAAAGGCCTATATGGTAGAAAGGTTTCTACATTCCATTTGAAATGGTAAAATATTGATTCTAAGTAGATTGTGAAAAGTATGTATACTGTAATCTCTAGAATAACCACTATAAAACTACACAAAGAGAAAATACACAGTAAAAAACACAATAGATAAATTAAAATGCAATACTAAAAATGTTCAAATTACCTAAAAGAAGAAAGAAAAGAGGAAGGAAAGAAATAAGAACCAGAAGAACGAACAGAATATAATGGTATACCTAAATCCAAACATAATAATTTATTAAATGTAAATGGTCTAAACATACCACTAAAAGATTTTCAGAATAAATTTTAAAAACCCCATCCAAGTATATTCTACCTACAAGAAATTCATGTCAAATAGAATGAGACAGGTAGAGAGAGGAAGTCTTAGGGAAAATTTAAAAAGTAATTTCAGCTGACTGAAAGTGAAAATACAACACATTAAAAATTGTGTAGGATGCAGCTAAAGGAGTAGGAAGAGGGAAATTTATAGCATTAAAATGCTGATATTAGAAAAGAAGGTCTCAAATCCTAAGCTTTTAAGAGTCTACAAAAGAAAAGCAAAATAAATCCAAAGCAAGCAGATGAAAGGAAACAATAAAGATAAGGCAGAAATCAATGAAATTGAAAAGAAAAAAAAACCAATAAAGAAAAAAAAATCCACGAAACCAAAACGATTCTTTGGAAAGATCTACAAATCTTTCTTCCAAAAACTGTAAGAGAAAGAAATACTTCCCAACTCATTTTCTTGGACCAGCATTACTCTGATACCAAAACCAAAGACAGTGACAAAAACAAACAAAACAAAACCAACAAAAATACCTGGGGGGAGCCCAAGGATGTTTATTCCTCAAAAGCTCAGGAGGGTAAGCATCGTTACCAACTACTTTTGCCTCAAGAACAGTGTATCCAAGAAAAACAATGTAAGAGCTAAAAGTCAACCAGATGCTTCAGATTTTAAAGGCCCATGCCAGAGGCTGCAGGGCTGGGTGGTGAAAAGTTCAGCGCAAGTCCTGGCACCACTACTCACTGGGCCTCTATTCCTCTGCAAGGTCTAACTTCTCTGAGCCTCAGGGTCCTCTCCGTAAAGATGCATGACAACCACCCCTGCATGGGGAAGAAATACAAGAACTTGTGTATAAAGGTGTCAGCACCAACAGACTGTTCACCAACCTGGCTGTGATTTCATGAGAATGTTGCTTCACACATAGTAAGTGTTGTTTAACTATTCGCTAAACTAACAAATTAGTGACACAACCAAGGCACAATGCTGCCGAAAACCCACGAACACTCAGTAAAAACTCTGCAGCTAAGATACTTAAACTACTTAAAAACTAAACTACATCAAAAAGCTCATTAAGTTACGAAGTAGGAGCAAGAGAAAACCATCAATCATCAGCTTGGAAAGGTTGGTAGCTGTCGCTCCAAGGCAAACTGCATGAGACACATAAGAAAACTAATTTTAGATCATCAGATTTTCAGGATTTTACTCTGGCCTTAAGCCACTTTCTGACTTTCTCTATCACACTAACCCCTGGGTCAAAGCCTCACATCTATTAGGTGTGTCTCGCATTTGATCTCCTGTCACTGGCATACCCTTCATGACTCTTAATCTTTTGCAATTCTGTCCTGTCTCGTAAACCCAGCAAACAAAACGTGACATGCTCCACAAAGAAGCGCTTGTGAGTCCAGCCTCCTGGAGCCCCAGGAGCTTCCTCTGCCCACTGCCTCCCCTGGGGCTGTGTCCATCTCACTACTCCAGCTGGACTCTGGACTCCCGAGCAGCTCACCAAACAGTTTAAAGTTCTGTCCCACCTGTGGATCGCCCCGACCAGTGCAGAAATGTAACTACAATTCAAATTCACAGAGATAGTGGAGAATGACCTACTGGGATGCACTGGTAACAGAACACAGGTGACCTCTTCTCCCTTCCACTCTTTGTAGAAAATGGCACCACACCTTCCTAGGCGCCCTGAGCTCAGAGGTTCTCGAGCTCAGATGTGTGTAAGAAGCACCACGGGAAGGAAAAGAGGAAGGCAGCCTCCTGGGCCCTCTCACAGATTCAGGTTCCAGGGGTCCAGCTGAGCCCAAGAAGCTACCCTTCTTTTTTTAAATGTCCACCTCCCCTCAATATATGCTGTAGTACAAATGTGGCTAATTTAAGGATTTTTTTTGAGAAACATCATAAACATAAAAGTGAACAAAACACAGAAAAACAACAAAGCATAAAGTACCGTGCAACAGAAAGGGAGACACGGATCTGCCAGGAAGGAGGTGGAACCGTGCTCAGGACACAGGGCTGTGGGCCTGAGAGGGACTGTGCTATGCAGGGGCTGAGAGACCAAGGTCTTGGTTCCAAGAACTAAGAGAAAGGGGAGGGCAAGCGCCATGAAGGAGATACCAAGGACTCCCACACATTTTGGGATGTGATGGGACCCCATCCCTATGTCCCACAGCTGAGTTTACTCACAATCCAGCTGATGCAAGAAGCAAATTAAAGGCTACAAAGGCTGGTAAAAAAAAAGAACATTAAAAAAATGCCCAAATTATAAGCTGTTAAAGGAGCTTAAGCCTGTGCCTCTGAGCAGGGTACACTAACTGTCTGCTCCAAGCAGGCAAAGAGGACAGGGGCAAGGGACAGGCCAGAAGGACCACAGACTCTCCTGCTGTGCGCACGTCCCACCCTCCAGACACACACCGCAGGGGCTGCTGCTGGCCGGCCTATCTCCAGAGCTGTGCGCCAGAGACTGTTCCAGGCCTGCACCCAAGTGTTGGGTACTATTGCCAATGTCAGATTCTAAAAATTTGGTCTGTAAAGGGTAACTAGTTTCAGTAGGACTCTGCGAGGAGACCCAGGGAGAGCACCCAGGTCTCCTTCCCTTAATTTAATAGGAATTTCCTGTGCAAACCACATTTCTGCATATTCTTGGAACTGCAACCAACCCCAAATCGCTTTTTTTGAGTAATCACAATCTGTTGCCTCAGAACAGCAATTAAAAACCAGACTACATTCAATTTCCTAATCACGTTTTGGAATTCTTGTGTATGTGTATGTATATATAATTTAGAGGTAACAGATACCTGGTCAAACAGGTAAACTGTGACATCATCAAAAAACGTGACCGCCTTCTTTTCTTTCTTCCAGCTATCAGGTAGCTGGTCGGTGGCCGCGGCTGCCGAGGGCTTCAGCAAACTGCGCAAGTGTCTCCCATCCTCATTGCTGAGGATCACGGGCACAGGGTGCTCAGTCTCCTCTTCTGACTCGGAGCTGAGGCTGTGCAGGTTGAAGGCCCTCAGGTCCTCATCAGAATCGTCGCTGTTTTCGTCCTCCTCGTCCGCGTCGATCCCGTCCTCAGAGAGGTCGAGCATCCCCGACACACCGAGCTTCCCCAGGTATTTCCCCTCGATATCTGGCTCCTTCAACTTGGGGCTGTCGGAGTGGCCGCTTAGGGACTTATCCACTGCCGAACTTGCATACGCGAGGAGTTCATTAGTATTGGTTCCGGTGGAAGTGAGGGTGCAGGGGCAATCTTCCTGTGTCTCAAAGTCATCGCTGCTGCTAAGTTCTGGATGCAGCAAACTCAAGGGACTGCCAGCCTCGTCGTCTGCAGGATGCATCTGTTTGGAAACATCAGCCTGTGGTGGCTCCAGCGTTTCTCTTAATTCCAGGTGACTGGAATTCTGCAAAGCAGGCAGACAACTCTGAGCCAGCTGGCTCTCTGTGCTTTCCAGGAAACTACCCTCGGCATCAGGATTCTGCTCTGGGCTGACTGGCTCGGGCAGGGATGGGCCCTGTACTGACACCAAGGCTGACGTGGAGGTTCCTGGGACCTCCTCAGACTTTTTGTCGGGCTCAGAGTCATTATCTGAGAAGTATGCTGAGTCTCGATATGAACTCTGGGAGCCAGGTGCAAAAGTCTGTGAAGTCACATCGGTACCTCTGTGGCCATCGCCTGCATCTGAGATGACAATGACCGGGTTGGGAGGCAAACTGGTTTGACCGCCGTCACCCACTGAGGCCAAGTCTGAGTTGGAGGTACCCTCGGGAGCAGGGTGCAAAGTCCACTCAGGCGACTCCAAGTTCTCTGTTTCGTAGCCACTGTCTGCTGGCTTATCAGGGGGCAAGAGTTTCTGAGGAGTGTGAGAGTCTAAAGAATCCAGTAACGCCTCATGGACATCCACTGACTCTAAGGAGTCTGGGGTTTCCACCGACTGCTCCGAGGCCGGAAAGGGTGTTGACAAGCTGTCTTCTAAGAGGCTGTCTTGACTGGTAGAGTCCGAGGAAAGGGCGGACACCAAGCCTGCTTCTTTTGTAGCATCTTTATAATTGAGCTGATTTAAAGTCTCCACAGCTTCCAAGTTTTTCTCCAGCAAACTATTACTATGACGGTCTTCTGAAAACGGTTTATTTTGTAAGTTCTGTCCTAATTCAGGATGACTACTCCCTATACTCACTTTACTAGGAAGAATATCAACAACTGACTCACTTTTGGTTACTCCCAAGGTCTCTTCGCCTTGGCGAGTCGAGTCCTGGGACCCGTCGCCAACGCTGTGAGTTTTGGCGTCAGTTGAGAGAATTTCAACTGGGACAGTCCCAGTGTCTGCACTGACGTCCTGGCAGAGACAGTCCTCAGAGACACTGACATCTAAACATGCGGGTTTGGTTTCTCCCTGGTGCAAGAATGAACCTGGAGGTACACTGTGAGACGTTTCTTCTGTTTCGAGTGAGGTAGGAGGTACCTGCACTTCCGGGGAGGACAGCAACGAGGCGCTTGGAGTGCTGTCTGTGAGCACAACGTCCGTATCTTTGCCCTTTGCGCCGAGGTTTTCCTGTAACAAAGTAAAGCCTGGTTTATTTTCAGCAAACTTAAGCTCGGTATCTAAAGAGTTTCTAGGTGAAGTTTCTAATATAGTTTCAGTAAAACCAGCATTCTTAAGCTCTGTTTGAAGATCACTGACATGTTCTTTGCTAGACAATGAGCCTTTTAGTAAGTTTTTCTCTTGAAGAAATAAAAAGTTTTCTGACAATTCTTGAACATTCAATGGATCAAAATTATCTTGGTGCATAAGATTTTCTGACAGACAAAGAGGATCACAGTCAAAAAGCTTATGGGACTTTTCCTTTTCAAAGTGGTCAGTTATTACAGACTCTTTGGAGTTATCCAAACTTGAACTTAAAGTGGTAGGCTTAAAGTCAGCTTGAACGCCGTTTAGTTCCATTAAGTCAAATATTTTTTGGTGGCTGGGCAAATCCTCCGATTTGTCCAGATCATTAAATATACTGTTGAAAGGGCTCTCAGGGCCACTGGGAACATGTACGTCCTCAGGTAAGCTCGCATCTTTGGGGTCCGTACTGCTTTGGAAGAAGTCCTCGTCGGTACTAGACTCCTCTAATTCCAGGCTCCTATGCGCTGCACCCTGGGGTGGCTCCGCACCCATCCTTTCGGGATTGTCCATTTCTGTCGTGAGCAGCGCAGGAGGGTAATCAAGCTCCAAGTTGCTACTACTTTTTTCTTCTAATTGGATATAATAGTCACTTCCCACAGAAAGGTTGTGAGCATCAAAAACAGGAACCACTCCGGGGGCCCTCAGGGGGACATCCTGGCCACTGTCATCCTGTTTCCCAGGCCCAGGATCGGAAAGGGAGCTCTCAAACACTTCAACTGGATAGAAGATGCTTGTGTAGGACAAGGCTTCGTCTGGGTGGCCCCGACTGTGCTCATCGAAATGATCATGCTTCGCCGCCTCCCAGACGTACTCAAAGCTCAGTCCTTGGCTCGTCTCGGTCACGGTGAGGACTTCCTCCATTTCACGGCCCAGCCGATCCCGAGTAAAATGGTCAAGGATTGGGAAAGCAGCATTGCTGGAAGCATCTCTGCTGTTCGTATTTGGCTTAAGAGCGTTCCACTGTTGTTCGAAGTCAACTTCCGAGTCCCGCTGGCTTTGCATGCGCAGGTAAGTTAGCAGTCTGTGCACGTCTTCCGCTGCTGGTCTCTTGTCTGGCGACAGCCAACAGAACTGCAAAACTTCATACCTAGCAGCACAGGAGAGGTAATTAATGGAACGATAATAAATTGTTTTAAAATAAGAAAAGACTTTACAAGGACCCCGAAGGAAACTCAACACCCCACAAGTTTCTACACCTTAATCACTGCCAACCACACGAAGGACTTCAGTTCATGGTGACAGCGTGGTGAAAGAGGAAACGAAGAAATACCACCACATTTTTGTGTTTTCAGGACATTTCACAGCATCTTCACAGTGAAGATAACAAAATAGAACCCAGAGAACATGAAGTTACCAACCATCTATCAGAATAAGGCTGCTCCAGCTGGGGCTTGGGGAGCTTTGTGTCTCTCTCTCTAATGACTTGATTGAGGACATCTAAGTTGGAAAGGTTGGAATATGGTTGAGCAGCATTATCAAAAAGCTCCCAAAGTGTCACACCCAGGGACCTGTTGGAAAAAGAACATGGTTATTTCTCTCTCCCTTTAGATGTCAAATTTTTAACACCCACATTGTTATTTATATGGTCAGTAATGTCAAGGACGAGGTATGTACTGAAGATTATTAATAATAAGACAGTTCTTTAACACAGTAAAATAGCTCCAAAACCAATAATCAATATCACGGTAACAAAAAAGAGGCATTTCCATTAAAATAAGGAAGACAAAAATGCCTCCTCACATTACTACTGAATACCACTCTAGAAGTTTTGGCCAACGAAAAAAATACAAAACAGATGACAGGCATAATTACAGAGATGAGGTTAATATGACTGTCAACTTGAAAAATTCAAGAAATTATGTGAAAGGCCATTAGAATGTTTCAAGACTTCGGCAGAATGGCTACAGACAAGATAAACAGCCTAAATTCTGGGGGTTTTGGTGGGAAAAAAGCTCATTCACAACAGTGGTAGATGCCAAAAAATATCAAAAGAAATCTTTATGTGGGAAAAAAAATCTCTTCCCTATTAGACCCACGCATTTCTTATTTTAGCTACTCCTCAGCATTCCGGGTTTTCCTGCTATCACGCAGGGGTGGCCTAGCACTCTGGCAGCTGTCTCTGTGCCAGGAGAGGGGAGGCCACCTGCCTGAGCCTCTGAGGCCCCCAGGGTGGCCTCACACAGCAGGAACGCCCCTTCTTCGTCCTCGCCCAGCCTGCTCTCACAACCCTGTGCTCTGCCCCCACGGACATGGCCTCTGTTGCTCGGGTTAGACGGAGTGCTTGTCCTTTCCTCTACGTGGTCCCTGTACTTCCTCTCCGCCACTTACTGCCTCTGTCCTGCATTATACTCTCCTATTTATTGCAATGCTCCCAAGCCTGGCTGGTCATCCGTGTCATCTGGGAAGCTTTCAACAAACACATTGGTATTTGGGGTCCACCCGAGGACTCTTAGTTGGTAGATCCAGGTATGATCTAGGAAACTGTGTTTTTAAAAAGCTCCCTAGTGATTCTGACATCCATCCATTTGTGGTTTACATGACTTTGATCAATACCCACCAGGATGCTTATGTGAATAACAAACTGTATCGAATAATCAATAATTTATTTGACATCGTATAACACAACTTTAAATTCTCTTACACTGCTTTCACAAATAAGTGAAAAAAGTCAGCATATTCAGTATCTAAGTTGAGAGATCATTTCTATCAAAGGAAATAAAAGGACCCAAACCTCCCAATCTAATTTAGAAAGTAAGAAGTGCTTTCTCTTCCCTGGCACAGAATTGCTAGGGGTAGATGAGCATTTTTTGTACAAAAGAAGCTTAAGGTAGTGTTAATGTCCTATTGGAGCACCTTGCGGAGCTTTTTGATAATGCCGCTCAAATGAGTTTACAATTTGACCGAGAAAAATAAGAAATTTCCATGAAATACTAAAGACCACAAAGGTGGTAGGTAACTCTGCCCATCTCAATTTCTCCAAATCCCTGATTTAGCTCCCTTTCCCACCCCCAGTAAGGCCTATCCACAAACCAAACCCCTCCCTAGCCACTACCTGCCCCCTACTCTGCACAGAACAGGAAGCACAGGCTTCCCCAGCCCCACCCCATTGCCTCTTAGCATCTTCCCTGCATGTCTCTCTCCTGGAGCTCTGCATTCTCTGCCACGCAGGGATCCTCTGGGATCACTGCATTATCACCTCTTCTGCCTCGGATTCATCTCCTCCCCTCCCACGGGCTAGTGCCTCCTTAATACCATTGAGCCTCTTTCTTCTGGGAGGAAAACTGTCCTCTAGCTCTTATCCCCTCTTTACCCCCAAACTCTCTGAGTGAGGTCCCTCTCATTCAACCCGGCACGAGGCAGTGCGGCCTTTGCCCCTGGCATGACCTGGCACTGCCACTAGTGACTGCTCAAACCGTCAGCATGAGGGCTGGCTCTGTCTCTGGGAATGCAGGTTATATTGCCAGCTCAATCCTCCCACTAAGGACAATAAAAATGCTGGATGAAGCATAAAAAGCATCTTCTTAAAGGCATCTAAGAGTGGATAAGAATGGAGGGAGTTACAAGGACAAAAATCTAGAACTTGGAGAACTAAGCAGAACACTAAAACCTCCTTTGAGGCTTTTGCTGAAGAACAGACCTTGGGCTTCTGTGTTTGTGGTTTCCAAGGCTTGATGGGGGTGATAGGCCCAAGGTAAGAAGGCTCACTGAGAGACCTCAAGGTAGGGATAAACCCACCCCTGCCTCCCTTCACGGGCAGGGAGGCAAGCTGCCTTAGCACTGAGGTGCTGTGAGGGCGGAAACTGACTGTATGTGTAAGGGGGCAGGGCCCAAAGAAATTGTAACCACAGAGTTGGCCTTTACCTGGATTTGCAGCCCAAATTAACATCACCTGAGTGGTTCATAAAGTCTCAAGCTGAATATGTAACGCCCTGGCCTCGTATAGGGCCCTATACATGGCAGGACCCCCAGGTACCCAGGAGAAACAAATATAGATAGATCTTCTCTGGAGGAACGTACCTCGATTCTACATTTCCAAGAATCCTCAACACAAAAAAGTCCCAGAGGAAACAAGGAACCATCAAGAAGCAGCAGGATCAAGACTATAGTTAGCGGAATTATCTAACATAGATCATAATCCAATAATAAAAAACACTGTGACAAATTTTTAAAATAAAAAATATCTTCTAAAACTAGAAAGTCAATAATGGAATTATAAAACTTAATAGATTTAACAGAAGAATAGACATAGCTGAAGAGAGAGAAATTAGTGGCCAGAGTCTAAGTCTGAAAAACTATCTAGAATGTGGCAGAGAGTCAAAGAGACAGAATACGTGAGAGAGACTGAGAGACAGGAGATAAAGCAAGATGCTATAACACATGTCTAATTAGACTTCCAGAAGGAGAGAAAAGGAGGCAGAGGCAATATTTAAAGGATAAGGGCTAAGAATTTCCCAAAACCAATAAATAACACTAACCTACAGATTTGAAAAACCAAGTAAATTCCAAGCAAAAAAAACTTAAATCCACACCCACACACATCACAGTGAAACTATTAAAAAAAAGAAAAAAGATAAAGGGAAGATTTTAAAGGCAGCCAGAGAGAAAAAGTCACATTACCTCAAAGAACTTAGGAGGATTACAGCGAGCTGAATTATCAAAAGCAATAACGGAAGTCAGTAGAATACACTGAGAGAAAATAAAAGTCATCAAGTAAAAATATACTTCGAGAATGACAAAATGAAGGTATGTTCGGACCTACAAAAAACTGAGTCTATTATCAGCAGACCCTCATTAAAGGCAGTTCTGAAGGATACACTTCAGGCCAAAGGGAAGTGGTCCCAGATGGAAGGTCTGAGATTAAAAAAAAAGTAATGAAGAGCAAAGTGGTTTGATTATGTGGATAAATCTAAAAAGAACATTGATGCTAAAAACAGTATCTTGGGATGTTAAAAGAAAAACTTAAAATACCCAACAATAATAACATATAACTGTGTGCGTGTGTGTGCGTTTGGGTGTGATGTACTGAGTTAAAGTGTTCTAAGGTCCTTGTATTGTTCATAAGGAGGGTTAAGATATGAACTAATATTAAGTTGAGGTAGGTGAAGTATATGAAAGCTGTAATTTCTAGGGTAGCTAATAAAAGTATAGGAATAGAGTATGTAGCTCCCAAACTAAGAGGAAAAAACAATAAAAAACAAATTAATGCAGATACCGATGTCAGCAAGATGGCCGACTTGCAGTCCCTGGCACTATTCCCCCACAAAGATAGCCAAACAACCAATGAACAACTACATTTTGACAAAATAACTAAAGCAGAGAACTGGAATACATCGAAGGAGTAACAGAAACCCTGGCGAGCACAGACACTCAAGACAGCCACACAGAGAAGAGAAGGAAATGCCTGCCCTCCACCATCCTGTCCCCTAGCAAGATCAGCTGGGAACCAGGAGGAATGTCTCCTTGAGGGGAAAGGTAAGCAAGAGGACCTCAGCAGCCCCCAGTAACACCCTGGACTCACAGTCCTCACTACTGGGGTCCCCTACAGTCCTCACAAGCACTAAGTCCACATGGCTGCGTCCCCTCCAGAGAAGGTGCCGACACTGTGCCCTGCCCCCTGTGGCCCATGCAGCTGTGCTGCATCCTGTGCTACATCATCTTGGAGCTAGAACTCTTCCGTTCCTGAGGCTAAGCTGCCACCAAAGCACCCTGGCCCGGTGGCCAAACAGAAATCCTACAGCTGAAGAAGTCAACAAATGAAATAAAAAATACAATGGAGAGCTTCAATAGCAGACTAGATCAAGCAGAAGAATCTCTGAACTTGAAGACAGGTTGTTAGAAATTACCCGGCCAGAGGGAAAAAAAGGAAGAAAGAATGAAAAAGAATGAAGAAAGCCTACAGGACTTACGGGACACCATTAAGCAAATAAATATATGAGAGGCAGGAAAAGGCACAGAAAACCTACTTAAGAAAATAACAGCTGAAAAATTCCCAAGTCTTGGGAGAGATATGGACAGATCCAGGAAGCTCAAAGGTCCCCAAATAGATTCAACCTAAAAAGGTCCTCTCAGAGGCACATTATTGTCAAAGTGTCAAAGGTCAAAGACAAAGAGAGAATTCTAAAAATGGGCCAGGTGGTAGCTCACACCTGTATTGCTGGCACTTAAAGAAGCCAAGGCAGAAGGATTGCTTGAGCACAGGAGTTTGAGACCAGCTTGGGCAACATAGCGAGACCTTGTCTCTACAGAAAATTAAAAAATCAGCTGTACATGGTGTCATGTGCCTATAGTCCCAGCTACTCAGGAGGTGAGGCAGGAGGATCACTTGAGCCCATGAGTTTGGGGCTACAGTGAGCTATGATTGTGCCACTGCATTCAAGCTTGGGTGACAAAGCAAAACCCTCTCCTGAAAAATAAAATAAAAATAGCAAGAGAAAAGCATCAAGTCTAAGGGAGTTCCTATTAGACTAACACAGATTTCTCAGCAGAAACTCTATGGGCCAAGAGAGAATGAGATAATATATTCAAAGTGCTAAAAGGAAAAAAAAAACAAAAACAAAAAACAACTGCCAGTCAAGCATATCATACCCAGCAAAGCTATCCTTGAGAAATGAAAGAAAAATAAAGTCTTTCCTAGACAAGCAAAAACTGAAGGACTTCATCACCACTAGGCTGGCCTTACAAAAAAAATGCTCGAGGAGTCCTACATCTGAAAAAGAAAGGCGGTAACTACCATCATGAAAACATGCAAAAATATAAAACTCACTGGGAGAGCAGATACCCAAAGGAGAAAGAGAAAGGAATCAAACTGTGTCAATCATGTGGAAGCTAAAAAAGTTGGTCACAGAAGTACAGAGCAGATAGTGGTTACGAGAGGTCGGGAAGGGTTGGGGGAGAGGGGATAGGAAGGGGTTGGTTAACAGATACAAAATTACAGCTAGACAGGAGGAAAATCATCTAGTGTTCTATAGCACTATAGGGCACTATAATTAACAACAATTTATTGTGTATTTTCAAATAGCTACAAGAGATTTGGAATGTTTCCAACACAAAGAAATGATAAATGTTTGAGGTGATGGATATACTAATTATCTTGATTGGATCATTACACATTGTATACATGTATCAAAATATAACACTGTATCCTATAAATATATATATAAATTATGTCAATTAAAGACAAAAAAAGCAAAAAAAAATTTGTTTTAAAGAAATCAATCCAAAAGAAGGCAAGAAGAGAAAAAGAAAACAGAAAAAGAACAAGAGCACAAAAAATATCGCTATAGGCCAGGGCATGGTGGCTCGCACCTGTAATCACAGCACTTTGGGAGGCCAAGGTGGAAGGATCACTTGAGCCCAGGAGTTTGAGACCAGCCTGGGCAACACAGAGACCCCATCTCTAAAAAAATTTTTTAAAAATTATCAGGGCATGGTGGCACGTGCCTGTAGTTCCAGCTACTCGAGAGGCTGAGACAGGAGGACTAATTGAACCCAGGTGTTTGAGGCTGCAGTGAGCTATGATTGCTCCACTGCAGTCCAGCCTTGGCAAAAGAGTAAGACTCTGTGTCTCTATTAAAAAAAAAAAAAAAAAAAAGAGCTATAAATTAAGAAGGTTGTGATAGAAATTGTTAGACAAAGATTTAGATACATCTCTTTAGCTTCCATTAAACTGGCCCCTATAAATCACAGTATTAAGTAATAGTACAAACCCCTTTTCGGTTCATTCACTTCAATAAATATGTATTAAACATCTTTTATATGCCAGGCCCTGTAGGAGGCACAGAATATAAAACAGACTTGGTTCCTGCTTTTGCAAAGGAAAATGGATAAGAAAGACAGTTAATTATATCATTGCAATCATGTCTTTCAATGGTCTCTTTCACACCATCAGGTACTCTTTTGTTCCTACATCTTATACCATTACTTTCCCTTAAGAAATTACTCAAAGAGAAAGAAGTTAGGACTTTGCCAAACAAAAGTCTAATAAAATGGTAAACCAATACATACCAAATATTACTATACTTAGTTTGATCTGCAGTTAGTAGTCTGTCTTGAAAGCTGGTTACTAATTCTGGAGCAGTCCATCGCAGAGGGAAAATTTTTTTATCATCTGTTTCAATGTAATCCTCCTGTTTTGTTAGAAAGCATACAGAATTTTGAATGGAATGATACTTTCAGTGAGCTCAATGATTTAATTCCAGAGCATTCTCAGAAAACATATACCCAAAAAACAAACCAGGAAAAAAAAAGTGGGCATGAAGAGAGACCTTCTGGGCAGAAGGTGAGTAAGGAGTTTCTCTGAAGCCTCCTGGGCTTCATGAGTCGGTCTCTCAGCCATGAATGCCTGCTAAGTCATCCTTCCAGGAAAAAGAAGGTACGCCGTGTCTGATGCATGCAACGCAGACTGAGCAAAACATCTTTTAAAATATACTAGGCCTTACGCACTGAATAGAGATGCTGGTTAATGAATAAGACTGTAGGCTTTAGAATCCAACAGACTGGGTTGTAAGTTCTCCGTTCTACCACCACCTATGCGACTCTGGGTAAGCACAACTATGTGAAGTCTTTTTCCTTATCTGTAAAATGAGGATAATACAAACTACCTACCTTTGCGATGAGGATTAAATGAGATAATACAGGCAAGTATTTCTAAATGCTTGATATATAGCAAATGCTCAAGACACTAGAGCCACTATGTAGACAATCTCCTTCTCTGCCCCACATCATGCTACCTCATTCAGTCAGGCTACAAAAACACACACAAATGAAAATCTCATCTACTTCCCTTGTTTTCTTCGGGGATATATTTATGACAGAGTTAAAAAACCTAAATCAAGCTTAGTGAATCTGAGCTGAAATTTTACTGACCACATAATGGAGAAACATTTATATGGAATGTATATTTTATTATACAAGTAATAGTAACTATTACTGCTCACATGTTCATTCTAAAATTTACTATGAACCATCAGACTATATCAATTACACTGTTTATAAATCATTTTAAACAAAGCACTTGGAAAGCCGTCACAAAACACTGGGCATAAAGCCACTGATGTAGATAAACCACTCAACAGAAGCCAATACTGCCATGAAAATGACTGCAACAAACCCCTCTCCAGAAAGGCATCACAACCAAGACTCTTGCCCCTCTCTCTCCTCCAAAAGCAGAGAGGCATTTCTGTGATATTACAACTTCACAATCGAAATTAATTCAGATTAAAGAGACAACATTTAAATCTTTGGCTTACCTTGTACCTGCTGAATCCTATTCCATAATCTCCCACTTTAACGTTTAAGTCAGAGGTAAGAAAACAATTCCGCAGGGCTAAATCACTGAAAACAGAAATAGTGAAGTGAACACAACAACACAGAGAACCAACATCAGGATGATGTTACATGAAATTGCTGCGTAAAAAGGCTTTCTCTAGGAATCATAGCGTAGTAGATTGAGATCTCTGCTTAATAATTAATGTTTTAAAATTCTTTTTCACAGGAAAAGGATTATATATTAAATATATTATCAATTACTTAAATAATGAAGATGATCACATTTTTGGGCAAATAACTATGAATGCTAAGGTTAAATAATGACTATCTCTAATACCATGCTCTGTATTAAAACCAGATTTATGGCTTATTTCCTAGTATTTTAAGAGTGACCAAGAAAGAATTCTAAAATGTTATTAGCTAAACTGTCTGAATTTTATAACAACTGTTATTATTTTAGTAATAGTCCAATAATAGTTTGTTATTTAATATAAGATTAATGAGGTTACAACTTCAAGCACCTCAAAATAAGCATTGCTAAAAATGTTTGTTTTTTTCCTCCTTTTTCAAAGATATGCAAGCATTATAACTGAGCCCCTTCCAAATTACTCTCATGTCTTGCAAACTCCACCTCTCCACAGGGAAGGTCAAGAGCTTATTTTCAAGACTTACTTCAAACAATTTACTTACATAATTTAAGAACAAGTTAATTTTCAAAAACACATGATTTAACAAGTAAAAAACTATTTTTCCTAAAGGAACTTTCCATAGAGATAACAGATTAAACTGTTCAGATTTTGGCTTTAGTCCTTAGAATCTTTTAAATAATCAACTGGCATATGAATTAAAAAGGCACTGAATTAAAATAGACAAGGATACCTAATTTATAGTTTTAAGACATAAATTAAAGATATTGGAAACTGAATTTCTACAGTCTAAAATTAAAAATGTTTGTCTTTATATAATTGTAAAAGACCAAAACTTAAACTATCAAATTCGTATCTTCAAAGATTTTAATTTCCAGGCCGGGCGCGGTGGCTCACGCCTGTAATCCTAGCACTCTGGAAGGCCGAGGTGGGTGGATCGCTCAAAGTCAGGAGTTCAAGACCAGCAAGAGTGAGACCCCGTCTCTACTAAAAAAATAGAAAGAAATTATCTGGACAGCTAAAAATATATACATAGAAAAAATTAGCCAGGCATGGTGGCGCATGCCTGTAGTCCCAGCTGCTCGGGAGGCTGAGGCAGGAGGATTGCTTGAGCCCAGGAGTTTGAGGTTGCTGTGAGCTAGGCTGACGCCCCGGCACTCACTCTAGCCAGGGCAACAGAGTGAGACTCTGTCTCAAAAAAAAAAAGATTTTAATTTCCAAAGCTCACACGTCTGAAATATAATAATAATGAAGATGACAGTAGCAACAGCTAACACTGATATAATTCAATGACAGCTTGGTACATAACAACATTGATTCAATTATATAATAATGGCTAATATTCACAAAGCATTTACTTTACACGAGACATTTCTCTGAGCACTTTGCATTTTCTCTAAGCATTTAATCTTCACAACAAACCTATGAGGTGGGGACTATTATTTTCCTCATTAATAAATAAGGAAACTGGGGCACAGAGAGTTGAAGTAACTTCACTAGGGCCACAAAGCTAGCAAGTTATCATTCAGTAGGATTATCATACTTTTACCATCTATAACTATGAATGACAACACAGTAACAGTTGCAGCCCTATACTGTGCACATGGTTGGTCCTCAATGAACATGGTCCCTGTGGATTCGAGTGAATTATATTACACTACTCTCTACACTCTTTTTTTTTTTTTAGACAGGGTCTCACTCTGTTGCCTGGTGTGATCATAGCTCACTGCAAACTCCAACTGCTAAGCTTGAGCAATCCTCCTGCCTCAGCCTCCTGAGTAGCTGGGCCTACAGGCACAGGCCACTACCACACCCAACTGATTTTCTTATTTTTTGTAGAGATGGGGTCTCCCTATTGCCCAGGCTGGTCTCAAATCCCTGACCTCAAGCAGTGCTCCCACCTTGGCCTCCCAGAGTGTTGGGATTATAGGTGTGAGCCCACTGCACCAGGCCAGAATCTTCCAATCTTAAGGAGAAAATCAGTCCCTATTTTTTAGAATTAAGCAAAGAAGGGAGGGAGGAAGGGAAAGGAAGAGGAGTACCATGCCATTTGAGGGCAGGAAAATGAAAATACTTTAAGGCTGCTTTACCCACTGGGCCAACAGCTACAACTGGATAGTTGTAGGTTTTGCCAATAGAGGTTCAGTTACTGAGAATCACTGATGAGCATCTGCAGGGTCTCTACAAACAGATCCTGCCAAATCTTCCCCATGTCTCCCTCCTAAGTCCACAACTAAAAGCTGGACTTGAGCATTCCAGAAGGGACATGTGCGTGTCCTCTTTGGGCTGGGGCAGCAACCTGAGGTTGGCTGGAGCCATCAGAGCACAGGTCCATTCAGACACCTCCTGGGCAACAGGATGGCTGTCCCACTTCCTCCCTCCTCTTCTCTCTCTCTCCTCACAAGTGTTCAGTGTAGGTCTTCAGATTATGAAACGTGAAGGCTTGATAAAGGAGAAGGACTGTGCATGTAGAAGGCCTTTGGCTCTCATCATAAAACTCCAGTGCAATCCGCCTGGTATTTCCAGGGGAGGAGGAATGCTTCTCATTACCTGAAACCCAGAGGTGATGAGGAAGACAACAGTGGTGTGATCAGGGGCATTTCTCATAAGCCTGCTCCCACCTCTACCCGAGCACCCCAGGCACCCCAGCACAGTGGGACAGGTGCTGGGCGAGGTCAGGAGCCTGGAGCCACTGCTTCAGACCCATGCGACACAAGGCAAGTCATGTGCATATCGGAGCCTCAGTGTTCTCACAAAATAGGGATGCAGCTGAAATGGCTCATTCACAAGGTTGTTAAAAGGGTAAAATAAAAGAATATATATGAAATGTTTTGAAAACATTAAAGTGCTGTACAGATTTAACATGATGATATATTTCAGTTCAAAACTGGTAAAAATAATATTCTCTGAAGCCCAACAATGTGCAAGGCCAAAGACTAGAAAAACACACAGGTGTAACTTCTTAACAGAGGTAACTCTTGACGTCAATGGCTGCTTTTGTCAGGAAATACAAACATGCAGCCAGTATATTCTCCCTTCAAGTTGAAAAACAGGTCTAATGACGAGGCTGCCAAACACTCCAGCCCTGCAAGGCTCTGGGAAGGATCTGGCTCAGTCACCTTTGCCTGGCAGCACTCGCTGTGACTCAGGGGACAGTGACCACGTGGGATTCAGGCCACGTGAGCAGGGCTGATGGGCACAGGAAGTGGGAGCCCCGTCCCCAGTCACAAGGAAGCATCATTACTTGTTATTAACTCATGTAGGATTATAGTCTGCCTATCTTCAGAAATATTCCCTGATGCAAACTGCTTGACCGCAGTGGGAGCCATTTTCAAAACAATCCACACCGCTATTTATGTGAACTACTTATGCTTTCTTGAGTAACCTGAATTCCTGACAAAACAGAGTAACAGGGAGCAAAATAACTGAATGTTACTGAACACACTTCTAGGAGCTTGGCACACACTATCCTATTTAATCTTGACAGCAGCACTTTGGGGTTTTAAAGGTGATCCCCACTTTATAGAAAAGGGAAGCTCAAAAGGATTAAGTACTGAGGCTTATACCGGTAAAGCTGATGAGAGGTGAATTAAAACTTCAATCCCAAAGCCTCTCTCCGCTGACCATGCCACTCTGCCTGGGCGGCCACAAGGCTTTAAGGTTCTAAAGAGATGCTGTGCTTACCGCTCTAAGACGGGCTGCACAGGGACAAGCAGAAGATCAAACCAGGAGGATTATGATAAGGTGCACAGAGGCAACTTTAATGGGTTATGATAGTTCGCCCTGCTTATTAGGTCAGTTCTTGCTGGCTGAGCAACACTGCATTCGCTGAGCGCCTCCTGTACACCAGGCACCTGCTAGGCTTTGGGTACACAGAGAATTCTTCCACTGTGAAGTTCTTAGCCTGAGGAAAATGCCTGTGGCTGGAATGGGGTCCGCCACTGACACCCGGGTTTTGAGGCCAGTGATAAAATAGGGATCGAGGTGACACTGAGCTGGATAGTCAGGCATATTGAGGCCTCAACTTCTGGTTCTGGTTTATCGTCCCACAGCTATAAAACTGGACAAAATATAAAAGGAAGCAGTTTTCAAGTACTGAACCAGGGACAGCCGAGGCTTCTGATCCTGGAGAGAGGAGAAGTACCAGAGTTAAGCTCCACATTCCCTCAGCTTTCTGCTTAGGGACACTTTCTAAACCAGGGCATAGAGATGTGGAGTGATAGCACTGGGTGATATGAATGCTGGGCTTTTTCTGTGTCTTCCCCAAATGCAGCGTTGTTTTCTTTTAACCATCTTCCTCCTTCCAGGTACTAGGTAGTAACAAACTGGTAGGTACACTCTTCCTACATTCTTTCCATACTTAAATACACACCACGTGCACACACATCACATACACAAATACACGAGGGGAATAAGAAGCATTTGCCTTACAAAAATGTGATATTCTGCCTACTTATCTGTATCCTTATTTAACAATATCACAACATGAAAATCACTCCAAGTCAACTAGTCCAGCAGTTCTAAATCTTTCTTTAGAATAGTCACGTAATATTCCATAGTGCACATGGACCTAAATTTACTCTAGTTCCCCCATGAACATTTATTTGTCTCTCTTTTTTTTTTTGCCATCACTTCAAACAATGCTCAAGAGTTATTTCTTTTTTTTTTTTTGAGACAGAGTCTGGCTCTGTTGCCCTGGCTAGAGTGCCGTGGCGTCAGCATAGCTCACAGCAACCTCAAACTCCTGGGCTCAAGCGATCCTCCTGCTTCAGCCTCCCAAGTAGCTGGGACTACAGGCATGCGCCACCATGCCCGGCTAATTTTTTCTATGTATATTTTTTTACTTGTCCACATAATTTCTTTCTATTTTTAGTAGAGACGGGGGTCTCGCTCTTGCTCAGGCTGGTCTCGAACTCCTGA